TTGCTGTTGCTAACTAACTGCTAACCACTAACTACTGCAGTGAAGTCTTTAAAGTCCTTAGCATATTACGGTATTCATATAATTTTTAGAGTTTCCCTAGAGAAAATTTATCTGGATAGATTCATGTAGGTGTCTTTTAATAATCTGTGATGTTTCAGAAATATTTGTCCTAGTGAATAAATTTCTCATGTACACATTTGAAATATAGATTGTCCTCTTTATGGGAAAGTCACAGATTTTAGCTGAAATGTGGAAAGTTATTCAGATCTATGGATAAAAATCTAAAGGTTGTAATCATTGGCAGAGACTGAGATGAAATTGACTTGGGCCATTTAAAAATGTTCTCTTTTAATAATTTGCTTCATTGAATTCACGTTGCTTAATTTATTTTGACAACTTTGATTTTATTTAATTTGCTTCAACAACTTCAACCTTGCTTAATTCACCTTCTTTGCCAGTATTTTATATCTGGAGCTTCTTGCAAAATTGAGGTCAGACTTTTATTTGCATCTTTATTTTACTCTTGAAGGGTGTTGTAGATATTTGGTATCAAATGTTTGTTATTCATTCTGGAAGTTGTTTACCAATAACTGTATGAAACTTAAATAGAATAGAATAGAATTCTTTATTGGCCCAGTGTGATTGGACACACAAGGAATTTGTCTTTGGTGCATATGCTCTCAGTGTACATGAAAAGATAAGATACATTTATCAAGAATCATAAGGTACAAAACTTAATGATAGTCATAGGGTACAAATAAGCAATCAGGAAACAATCAATATCAATATAAATCGTAAGGATACAAGCAACCAAGTCATGCAGTCATAAGTGGGAGGAGATGGGTGATAGGAACGGTGAGAAGACTACTACTACTACAATTAAAGTGATTGAGCCTCCTGGCTCAATAAGGTTATATACTACTACTACTACTACTACTAGTAGTAGTAGTAGTAGTAGTAGTAGTATATAACCTTATTGAGCCAGGAGGCTCAATCACTTTAATTGTAGCCTTATTTTATAAACCCGTAGCACTTACAAAAAACCACCAAACCCATCCTTACAAAGTATGGATAAAGACAACATTTTGCTCCTGTATTTTGTTTTTAGAGTTTACTGGAATTAATTAATGTGTGTCTCTGACTTTGAAGCATGAAAGAAAATGCACAGAAATGTATACATCTCAAGCTTTAAAGTAACCAGCTGCTTTTTATGAAACAAGACATACACACAGACATTTTGCAGCCCTGTCTATGCTCATAGTGGGCAGTTTCCTACCTCGTTATTGATCCCATACAAGAAGAGGATCAATGCTTAATGTATTGTTCTTTATGAGTTCCTTATGAGGTGTTCCTGCTGGTATATCTCCCCTAATTATCTATAGCTTGTTTGCCTTGCCTCCATGTGAATGGAAAAAATTGCCATTTAAAAGTTCCTGCACACTTCACTTTCTCTCAGGAGACATAAGTATCTGTTGCCTTTGTTCTTATTTCAGTGGAATAACTTCCACAACTAATTCTGGGCCCAAACTGTAAGTTTTAAAAAATCCCTATGGAATAATAACAATATTGTGCTTGTTTCTTCCTCCATCCTGCATCATCTTTATACTTCTGCATTTAACACCCCCCAAAAAATGAAATGTATAAACTTTTTTTAAAAAAAGTTTCCTGGTGTCATACAACTATTGCAAAGACAAAACTAGTAAGCAAAGAAATATATTTTACAAGCTCATCTTCATCCCCACCAAACTAGTATATTTTAAGCTGTTATTATTTCTCCATATGTTAGATTTTAAATTACAGGATTCTCAACGTGATTTTGGTTATTTTGGTTTATATATTTTAGACAAGCCCTTAGTTTGAAACCCCCTTTGCCTCATCACCACCCAGATTGCTGGAGTGATCTTAAAAATCTCTTGAATATGCTTTACTGTCAGCTTTACATCTAAGCAGGAAATCATAAATCATGACAGTCTCCCCCATTCTGATGTATTAAACTTTAACAATTACAGATCAAAAACAAACCAGGGAAGGTTGAGTTATGAGAAAAGTCAATAGTCGATATCAAATAACAATTCAGAAGACAAGTGACAAAAAAGTTGGGATCAGAGAATAAACTGAGTTGCAAGAACAACTTGAGTACAAGAAAACAATGTTGCTGAAACACAGTCTCTGTTGGAACAGGGAATCTGTCATATTTTACTGTTCCTAACAGCTCAATGCACTAACCCTAAATCATGGGATTTTTAGTAAATTTGAAGAAATATAGGTGATATTTATAGATATGTGGATCCAGCAGTTACATTTCTTACAGATAAATCCAAAACATATCAACTGCATGGGTGGAAAGATATAAAATTCATTCAAACTTCAGAGAAAGTAGAGAATCTAGCTAAATTAAATGTGTCAATGTAATAGGCTAATATATTTAATTAACTGAGGGAGAAAAGACACAAGCTGCCGATTTGCTTGGATCCCAGATTGCTTAACAATGATATATTTCAATAACATGTTTTATTCAGGTGTCAGTGATTGTTCAGCGCTGTTGGCTAGAAATCATTTTTTTTTTAATTCCACATGCAAAAAACCAATTTGGCCAATTGAACTAGATGGGGAAGCCATGATCTTTATTTTCTAACATACCAAAGGGATCAAATTTTTGTCCTATCTTTATTTTTTACAACTCAGTGCAGTATATGTAATAGTCCCATCTCTTATTTTCCCACAACCGGGTAAGGGAATGATTGACCCAAAGTTACCCAGCTGGCTTTCATGCTTCATCATTTCTTGAAGGACATGATCTGATTCTGAGAAATGTGGCAAATGTTCAGTCATTGGTTAGTATAAGTTATTGTCAAGGTTGACTCAGCCTTCCATCCTTCCGAGGTGGGTAAAATGAGACCCAATTTGTTGGGGGCAGTATGCTGACTTCTGTAAACCGCTTAGAGACAGCTGTAAAAGCTCTATGTAGCGGTATATAAGTCTAAGTGCTATTGCTATTGCTATTGTCCAAGTAATAAAATGCTCATATCATATTCTCTACACAAGAAGACTGACAAGCAGATTACAAAATTGAGGTAGTTCTGTCTCACCCACAAAGACACACACTCTATTTCTCAAACATAATGTTACAAGAAATCATGGTACGTGGCATATTAAAATAAATATATTTCTTTATTGTGTCCTATTATAACCTGTCACAGAAAATTGAATAGGGATTACACCTTACATTCATTAAGAACCTTTCCCCCAACACTGTTATGAGCCTCTGTTCACATCTTTTAACAATAAAACCATTTTCATACAAGTTAGCTTGAGCCTAATGAAGAATCATGTTCTCAGAATGTTTTGTTCCTTTTTCAGATTACTTTCAGAGAGTTGAATAAGGGTTGATTTTTCATAACTTTTTTTTAATGAGCAACAGTTTTCAGTAACAGACCTCCCTGTTATTCTGATCAGCTACAGCCTTAGTACCATCTTAAATCGGAAAATTTGTTCTCCTTTTTCCTAATAGCAACATGTCACAAGGCGAAGCTTATAGAAATTCTGGCAAAGAAATGCTCATTTCAAATTATTACCAGGAACTCAAGTGGCAATCCTAGCAAGAAGATAGGAATGTTATTTCTGGAGGACAGATTATCCGTGCAATCAAAGCTTTATTTTATACATATCCTGAAAAGGGATTACTAAACAACTCTTGAAATCTGAGTTTAACGCTAATGGAGAAGAGTGACTAAGCAAAGGAAACAAAGTAATCCCAGATTGCCACCAAAGAAGTTTCAAACACTTTTTATCTGGGAATTCTTATTTCTATAAATATTTGACAGATTATTTTTTTAGGTACCTTGAATTCTGACTTTTCCTAAATAAGTTGGAATACTATGGCACTACTATGTTTAAAAAATTGTATTTGCACCATCTATATACTACAATAAAGAGAACTACATACCTCCAATACAAGCAGAAAACTTAATATTGCATTGTAACTTTAGTTTGTGTTCTCATTTCACAAATCAGTTGGCTATAATTCAGATGGAGAAGTCAAAGTTCTATAAATAAGATGATTCAGAAATCTTTGTCAACTTCATTCTGCTAGAACATACCATGGGGGGAGGGGGGGCTGGTGTACATGTCTGAATATTTCCTAGTAGTCAAAATGCTGAGAACAGCTTTTCCTTCTTTTGTGTTAAAAGCATTACTATAGGTGCAGTTTTTTTCTGAAGAAATACAAAGTACTGGTTTGAGCTTTAAAGACCTTCATGGTCTGAGTTAAGGCTAGTTGAAAGAATATCCCTCCTATATTGAGATCATCAGAGGAGATTCATTTAAAGTTACTGAAGGCCAAAATAATCAATCTCCATTAATTTGGGGCCAAGCTTTCTCCAAAGCCATCGCAGTTGGGAGGAGGTGCTCTTTGCTGAACTGAGAAACCTAATATTGCTTTAGGTTTCTTTTAGGCTTTTGCTTTAACCATGTTTAATTATTTACTTGTGCTGAGTTAATTCATAAGTAGAAAATAAACAATTGTATCCGGTTGAAGTAAAAGTGATGCAGTGAATGAGTTTTTTACATGGAGACATTTTTATTCTAATAAAGAATATGGGTCCCAGATTTCCTGCATTAGAATAGTAATATGTATTATCCACAAAAGATGATCCAGACTTGTCTCAGTAATTATTATCAGGCATATTTATATTTCCTTTCAAGAATTCCAAGCCAAAAAAAATAGGCTTAATTAAATGCACATAGAGTTATAATAAACCTTGCTAAGAATAGCTCTTCCATGGATAACTTTAGCTTTTCAGAAGTATACATTTTTCCCATTCATTTCTCTCTCTTTAGCTTGTGTAGCACGTGGTTGCTCTTTTTGAAACCTGTTTATGAACTCATCCTAACTTGCAGATTTTTTTTTTTAAAAATATAACCTATAGTAAATAAAATAATGAATAAGGGGTAGCGAAACAACATCAATATGTAACTACTCTGTATTCTTCTCTTTCCAGCTCCAAGTACAACTCAACTTGGGATCACTGGGGGCACAGAAGTTCTCTTGTCCTGCTGGTACCTTGTCTTGACACTATCCTCTTACACCAGCATAATGTACCTGAAGAACATCGTTCTACAATAAATGTAAAGAACCATGAAAAGCTTTTAAGGATTATTTGAAAGTGCTGATGACTGGATCCAATCTGGTAGAGTTGGTTAAAAAAAAAAAAAAACACGTCGTGGGATATAATCAGCAGTGCTTATTTGAGAATGATCGCCTTCTGTAGAATTGCTCATTATGTAAATACTTTAATTCTACTCTCTTTTTTATTAGCTGCATTACCTTGTGAAGAAGTCCACATTGTCCTTTTTCTTTACCTTTCTCTCTCTTTTTCTTTCTGAAAGATGTGAAATTATTTTTAGAGGATATTAATTGTGAGTTCATGTTTGTAATCTACAACGTTTCAAAAGCGTTCAGTCATGGTCTGCCAAGTTGCGGACAATAGTTTACATTAAAAAAAAAGAACCCAAATAATTGCAGTTTAAAAAAAACTTTAAGGCTGCAATACAAGCATTCATTTCCCTCTTTAAATAAGATTCTATCTATATTGACACAGAATCTTATTTTTTTTAACAGAAAAAAAGCTAAATAACATTGGCTTTGATTCATCTCTTCAAACTAGAATACATATCTAGATTTTCTTCTAGCATGACACTCAGATTTCAAGAATGAGCTTTGTAATATGACTGCCCTGTGCAGTTATGCTTTGATTTTGATTTTCTTGTCTGTTCAGCATGGGTGTGCCTTCATAAGATACTGCTTTTTTCTTCCTCTCGGGTGGAAGATTATATAAATATATATATATATACATATATATATTTTGGTAGATGCTAAGTTCAAGGGTACTGAATCTCTTATTAAGAACAAAGGTGCTATTGGCTGTACCAGTGGGGAAAGGAACTATTCAAACACTGAGCACAGAAGCAGACAGAGTAAATAAATGGTACTGGAAGTGGGGGGGGGGTTTCCCCTCCCCGAATCTGTTAAAAACAGCAGATATCTCAGAGGCTTCTTAATGAATGTAGCTCCCTTTATTTGTTCATACTGTGGCATGATTTTTAAAAGACTGCAGAGAAAGTGAGCATTTCTTTTATTTTACTCAGTGTTCAATGTCAACATTGGCATTTCAGAATTGTTCTTCCTGTTTAATATCTAGTAACGAGATAACCTAAATCATTTGAATGGTCAGAAGATTTTAAAATATTTTTAAAACCCTACATGCTTTTAAGATATATACATTCTTGTGCACAGACATCAGGAATAGCATCTGTTCCAATCACAGGGCACAGATGCTACGTAGGAATGTGCTAATGTATCATTGGTACTCAAACGTTTTTTCTAAAGTTAGTTTGCTTAAATAAGAAATGACTGTTTCCTCTCCTATGTAAACATGTGGCTGAAGAATTTCCTCAAATGTTTGCAGTAATTGTGCCATAATCTTCACTGTTTTATGTGTAGGTAGGAGAGAGGGGTCATGTAAATGCTGGATTATGCTATTATGCCATACAATGTAGGGAAGATGATAGAAAAATGCAGATGGGCATGTTATTCTCAAACATGCATTTAGAACTTTCAGAACACGAAATAGGTGCATAAAAGAGTTTTTCTCTCACTTATAATTTTTCTTAAATGCAACTTATAAGAGGGTTTATAAGTATGGTTTTTTTTTTCCCCAAATGTTATGTGCTACATATCTGGTTGCCATAGTGTTGATTCTCTACCTTTGTCTTAGCATGACATTGTATTTTCTCCCCAGAAGGAGAACAATTCTCCTTCTCTCAAAAGGAGAACAATTCAGATTAACCCTAAAAACAACTCTTGTTAAATGTCAGTCTGCACAATCTAGGAAGGAACTTGTAGATCTGTCATTCTAAACAGATAATCTTTAAATGGAAGAAAATGGGAGAAGCTGCAAATTTATAGTATTATATGTGTTTGACATGCAGTGTTGCAAATTAACAAAAGATTGTAAAAATCCAAACATGTATCTGTAGAAACAATATCCTGATGTAAAGTAAGTGGATACTTCAGCAAATGCATAGACTTCTATTTGGACTCTTGACATGCTGTTCAGTGAGAAAATTACTCTTTGCTACTTGAATGAGGGCAGTTTCCTTTTCCCTGTCTTTTCCCTGGTTCAGGATGAATGATAACAGCTTGTTTCTTTAATTGAAGTTGCTGAGACATTTATAACAAAGTGCAATAAAGTGACTCAGAATGTTAGATAAAGTATTGTTTCTTAGGCAAAAAGATCTCAAAAGCAAAACCCAATTTATCAATATCTCAGAGGTCTACAGAAAAAGCTACCAGGTCTCGACCCTTATAAATTGTAACTGTGACTTTAAAATAAACGACTAGGGTATCCATTTTTAAATCTATCAAAGCCAGATAAAAAATTGAAATTTACTGACTGAGTACAAATTCAGCCTTTTTTTTAATATCTTCCATCCAAATATTACTCAATATTTGGGGAACCAGCACAATCTGTTCACATGTCTGCCAGATTTAAACCATATTATACCATTCAATACTCTGCTTTTTTACTCCATAAATAAAATATTATTAGATTAAGAAGGGAATCCATTAAAACCAACAGATTTTTCTTAAAAATAGGAAGGATATCCATATTATGATTATTAAACAATTACAGCCTCCAGAGCTGGGCTATAAAAATTCAGATGCCCACTGGATGGCAGCAAACAGGTGCAGACATGCTAATCTTTGCTGCCATCTAGTCCTCATCTGGATTTCTGCCACTCAGAAATGGGGACATTTTCATATTAGGGCTATCACCATTCAGTGAAGCAGTCTGTATTTTCTGTTCTGTTCTGCTGTTAATCAACTGTTGTTACATGGATGTTTTTCTTAAATAGAAAAGCTTGATTGAATTGGTTTAATGGAATATTCTGACATTTGTCTGTCCAGACATTCAAACTTATTAGAGTAAGGAGTGCAGTCAATGTTGCTGCGTAATAGATCTAAAAGCCTATTCATGTATCCCCTATGGAATGTTACATATAAACCATATAAACCAAGAACAGGATATGAGTTTCTCAAACGTGCTGTGTGCTCCCTGTACCTTTGAATGCCTAGAGCCATTCTCTTTAATTTCCCTTGTATTGCAGCTTTAAAGTTCTAAGAATGCATTTCACAGAACAACGGAGCAATACTGCAGAATCTTCTGTCAGTACTCTCTTAAGGAAAAAGAAACAGTTCAAAGCTATGTCACAAATAGAGAACCCAGCATTCCTTTTCACATCCGTAGAGAGCTGCTTTAATAGATTTGTTTATCCAAATTCTATAGTCAAGTTAACTGCTTTCTTATTCCTCCCCCAGCACACGGAGGCTGCTGATTCCTGCAGCAAACAGGGTGATCTTATTTTCTTATTACTAAACATGAAAATACCTGTGATAAAAGAATTAGTAATGTTTTTGTTTGTATGGAAATTCCCACCACAATAGCAGTTGGAATATATTAGCTCAATGTTTAGCCCAGCCTCTGAATGTTCACTTGCAATTGTTGAGTGTTTTCTTTAAAAAAAAAAAAAACAACATTAAACCCCTAGTTGTAGGGGGAGAAAACATAGTAGAAAACCACTTCCTGATTGTGTAGGGGAAACAATTGTATGTATAAAACTGGGTTTGATTCTGTAAGTATTTATTATCAAACTGGGACTAGCTCAATAAATACTTTCAGGATTTGCCTTGGAAGAGGCACCTTTGCAAAATCATGTTTGGCCTACTCCTATCAAGACAGACACACACCTAATTTTGCACTGAATTGTCCCAGTAATCATTTTTTAATAGCAGGTGTCTGTGTATTGACAGGATTGCCCCCCTCACACAAGTTCCAGATTTCTCTAGTAAGCCTTTTCTATATGATCACTGTACAATTTGGGATTTAATGGGACTTGATGTGGATTGCGTTGGATGTTCAAATTACAATAACATTTTACAGAGTTTATTAGTCCTTAAATTGTGGGGTATGTTTGTTTCTGTTTCTTACATGATAATCTATGGTCATCTAGTCAACATCATTGCTGTTTAGAATTTTAATCAACCACTATTATATTTCTCCCAGTCATGAATATGATATATATATATATATATATATATATATATATATATATATATATATATATATATATTCCTATACAGATTGGATTGAATTAAATCCAAGAAATGGAACTACGAACTTATTGTACAAAATGTGTCCCAAGTTTTGAATTGTGACAATCTTTCAGCTAAAATAAGACAATTAATTACAACTGTATTGTTATCAGATTAACATTCAGAGAAAATGAGTTAATTCCTGTGGTGTAAAGTAGTGGTGCTGATTGGAATTAAGGGTGTCTTAATATATGTAATATGAATTTTGATTTTTTTAAAAAAAAAAAAAAAGCTTAACTGGGAAATTGCTATGAAAATTCAGTTGAAGTCATTCTTTTTTGTTCTTCATATTGTTTTAAATTACAGTTTGTTTCAGATACAGATGTCCTGAAAGCGCCATCACTAACTGTGCAATGCTATTCATATTTACCTTGGAATAAGCCCTCCTGAATTCAGTAAGACTTATATCGAGGTAAGTGAGTATAGCATTGCCGTCTAAAGTATTGTGCTTTTTTTTCCCTGAACATTTTCAAAAATCAGTATTTAACATTACTCTGACCAAAATACCCATATACCCCACAAAACTGTGTGCACTTAAGATTGTGTATACCAAAATATGAATATACATGGATAAAATGCCTTAAAGTTTAGTATGCACTTACTTTCAGGGACTGGACCATTTTTTTCCAGTCTGAGGAAAATAGTCCATATTTCATAACTTGCAGTGGAAGGATTGTTTGTTTGTTTGTTTGTTTGGGAAAAAATGTTTTTACCCCAAAGGAGCATTTGGTAATTTCAAGTATTATTTCACCAAGTAGACTGTGTCAGAAATTTCAAAGCCATGGTAGAACTCAAACCTGATATTTCCAGGTGGGCAGACAAATATTTTGTAAAAACATGATTAATGTTGCAGTCCAAATCTTTTTGCATCTGGTGACATTTTGCCTTTGATTTGATTAAGTAGAGTGATGGATTACATCTTGAAGAAGTAGTAAAACTCTCACTTTGATCACGCTTGCTATTAGATAATGGGATGATGGTATAAACTCTGTCAGTCAAAACATGACCCATCAAAAGTGAATGTACTCCAGTAACCCATATCTGACAGCTCACCACTGGATGCCAACAAATCTTATGGTTGTAATGCCAGTCCAGGACTACAGAAGCAAGAAGGCTGTCAAGTACCTTTTGGACTACGACATAGAGATGGGCTTGATTTGTTGTTCAGCCTGATGTACACCGTAGCAGGATTTATCCTGTAGCTATTAAAAGAAATACTGTGAGTATGGAAATAAGGTAAATTAATTTCAGTTACATTTGTAAAAAGTCCATCGGCGATCACTTTGTATACATCTTGAGCACAACTACTTCTCTTCATCTTCCTTAAA